AAGAGCGGGCTAGCAGCGCGGTGAGGGTATCGGTGCTGAAGGCGCGGGGGGCGCGCAGCAAGGGTGCGGAGAAAAAAGCAGGGAACGGGCTCTCACAGAACATTCTGTAGGTATCCTCGCAGACCTGCGGCCAACGACACGGAGCCGTTTCATTTCCATCCTCGGGGAGGAGTGGGGGGATGTCTTTGTAAAAGTCTGCAAAATAAATGAAAGGTTAGTTAGCTTTTTATGGTTGCAGTTTCAGTAACTTCAGGAGTCAAGTGGTGTCCACCTCCCTGAATCTAGTTTGATACTGATAGGAAAGCCTGTTACTGAAGCTAAATACGGTAACGTGGATCCTGTGAAGTTTAGTCTATAAGGCAAAAATAAAAAACGACGTAATTTACACCGTTTATACACAAAACCAAAGAACGTTTTCTGTTCCAAATAACTATCCGAACTTTAGAGTTCTACTGCTCTTTATAAAAGTAAAAGAAAATAAAGATAAAATTTGAAGCTCGTGAAAGTTTTAGGCGTAGACATTAAGTTTATCAGAAACCCTATTTGCGAAACTAGAGAAAAGACTGGTAGGAAGGCATGAGCCTGCTAAAACAATTAGACCTAAAAAAGGGTTAACCAGAACTCTATTAAGGGGGGTGGGGGAAGATAGTGAGGCGGGCAGATGGAAAAAGCAAACAAGAGGCAGAAGTTGAACTCTACCAGATGGAAATAAATATCCTTAGCTTAGTTGGTCATCAATATTGCAAAACACATCACTTTGAGTTTTCTTCTTTAAAAAAATAAAATAAAATAATGAGCCAAAAGGCATAGAAATGAAGCAGAAGGTGGGTCTTGTTATAAAGTAGAAAGAGAAAAAGTTTTATTGTTTACATGAAATATGTAAAGCTCGGTTTGAAAGAATAACTAAGATTATTTTTTCATTCATGCGCAATAATTAAGTGGTTACATATGTAGTAACTTAAATATTTTAAAAAATAGTATTGTTAAAAGCATCGACTTGTGAAATTTCCTTTGGATAAATTCATCAAAAATTATGATAAAATACATTTGTTTCCTTCTAGGACTTTTCAGATAGAACTGTGCTTAAAAGGTAAGCGTCATGGTAATTACTTAACTGGGGACTTGAAACCTCTTACTTCTCAGAAAGGAGGTAGGGAAAAAGAAATAAATCCTTAAAATCACTGTTGCCCTAGTACAAGATCTGGTATCCCTCCTAACCCTGCCCACCCTTAATCATCTGCTCTGTACGTTTTCCTTACATTATCAGTCTTTTGAGCACTAGATTTGAAATCAGGTGAAAGCTTTACTCCAACATGCACTCCCAATAATTCTGAACTTAAATCATTTTATCTGCAAAACAAACAATGTAGCTAACAAAACGCTAAGATTTGAACTCAGACTTGTCTTCTAAGCCAATGTTCTCGCCTCTACTTTTAACCACCGTCCCAGGCACCACCTGGACCCCTCTTGAAAGCTTTTTAAAATCAGTTGAATAAGGTTAACAAATAATTTTAACTCATATTCCTGAAGGGTTTCCTCCCACTGTTTTCTATTGTATGTGTGTGTTTCCCACCTTAATTTATCCCTTTAAGAGACAAATGGATTTAAGAAATTACTCTTTTACCTTGTGCATCTACAGAGCACTCAGGAAAAAAAGTAAATAAATAAATATTGGTCCTAAATGCAAGCTTTAGATAGTGCACAATGTTAATTGTTAATAGTTTTCAATTCTATACATATGTTTAGTAACATTTTTCCAAAATTTTAGTCAGGCTCTTCTCTTCCAAGAAACAAGCTATTTCTTTTGACAGCTTTTGGGCTGTAAAGATACTTTCTCATGTTGTAGTTATGCTAAACTACAGGACCGTCTCAACTATTTACAAACCCAACTCTTAGCTTTGTGTCTTTAAGCCAGTTATTTAAACTCTCTGCATGGTAATCTAAGAAACAAAGACTTGTGAGGACTAAATTGAATTCCTACAGAAACTATTTAGCACTGTCTCCAGCACTAAGCATTCAAATATGAATATATATATCAGCTGGCTTATTATCAGGCAGTTTGATAATATTATTGTGAAACTAATTTCTAAAACCTAGAAAGTTTTCAGTCAAAGCACTAAAAATAAATTTTAAGAATTCTGTCAAAACAAATCCAGAAAATGAACTCGGGTTTCAAAATAAGTCTGCAAGTAAAAGCACAAATGTCAGGTCTTTGGAAACAATGCTGAAGAGTTCAGAAAGTATTTCTATAGAGGTAACTATTGGACAACTAACTAGAATTGCAAAGGTCTGCTCCGATGTTCCTGGAACAGTTTGCTCTGGACTGACAAATCAGAGTTTCCTGTAGACCTTTGAGTATTATTGTTTTGTAACCAAAAAGAAAAAGAGAAAAATAAACATTTATATACGGTTGCTGAATGAACTTCTTTCTCTGCTTCATAAACTAGTAAAATTTAAGGATCAACACAAGGTAGGAAATCTTTTATTTTGCCAAAGATTTAAAAAAAAAAAAAAATCCATTAGCATCTGCTATCACAATTATTTAGGAGAAAAGATGACATTTTAACATCCCCAAATAGGAAAGGTATCTGTATCAGAATAAAGCATGGTCATATTTTTTTTTAAATAAATTTATTTATTTAAAGTAGTTTCAATTATACAGTACATTGGTTAGACACCTATAATGTTTGTAAAATGATCCTCCCAATTGCTCCTTCCCTCCCCTAGCCCTCCACTTAGCCATCATATTAACACTAACTGCATTCCCTCTGCCATGCTCCCCGTGCCCAACTATCAACTATTAATTTGTACTTCTTTAATCCTTCACCCCATTCTCTCAGGCTCCCAACTCCCTCCCCTCTGTCCATCACCAAGTTGTCCACTGTATTTGTAGGTCTGTTTTTGATTAGTTTGTTCTTTTCGTTCCTTAGATAACGCATATAAGTGAAATCATATGGTATCTATCTTTCTCTGAGTTATTTCACTCGGCATGATAACCTCTAGGTCCATCCATGTCATTGCAAATGGTAGGAATTCATTTTTTTTAGTGGCTGAGTAGTATTCTATTGTATATATGAACCATAATTTCTTTATCTAATCGTCTGTTGATGGGCATTTAGGTTGCTTCCATGTCTTGGCTTTTGTAAATGGTGCTGCCATGAATATTGGAGTGCATAGATCTTTACGAATTATTGTTTTGGTTTTCTTTAGATAAGTACCCAGAAGTATAATTGCTGGGTCAAAAGATATCCATTTTTTAAATTTTTTGAGGAACCTCCATACTGTTTGTTTTCCATAGTGGCTGTACCAATTTGCAATCCCACCAACAATGTATGAGGGTTCCCTTTTCTCCACAGCCTCGCCAACACTTGATGATAGCCATTCTGATAGGTGTGAGGTGATATCTCATTGTGGTTTTAATTTGCATTTCTCTGATGATTAGCGACCTTGAGCATCTTTTCATATGTCTATTGGTCATCTGTATTTCCTCTTAAAGACCTATTCTTATTTTAATCTTTAAGTAGTATATAGAAACTGCTGTGATTTATAGAAACATAGCTGTGTCTTCATTAACATCCATGCTGCCATAGAATGCAGATTCCTTCTTCTTCTCCATAATTCAGTGGGCACTCTTGCTCCTGTCCCCAAACCCTCCATGCACATTGAGAAATTAATATTTTTATAAATCAGTAGAATGTTTTTCCTCATGTATTTCTTAGTTTTGTCTATAATGCCCCTAATTCAAAATTTCTCAACCTTGGCAGATCATTCTTTTGGGGGATGGGGCGGTCTTTAGAATTATAGAACATTTAGCAGCATCCTGACATCTACCCACTAGATGTGAGTAATACCCCCAAACATCTACTCGTGACAATCAAAATTGTCTCTGAACAATGACAAATATCTTTAAAATCCAAAATTTTCAGTTGATTAGGAATCACTGTTCTAACCCAATGCCAACACCTGACCAACAATTATTTTTTCTTAAGATACGCCTTAAGTGTAAGCTCTTAGAAGCCCTTCTTGACCTTCCAATGACAAATGAAGACTCTGGGCTTTTTGATTTTAATGTAAAATTGTTTGTTTTCTCTTATTACACTTATTTATATAATTGTACTCTATACTAGATTACAAGTTTCTCCAGCAAAAGATATAATTTCTTATATATTGCTGCATCCTGAAAGCCTGTTAGCTAGTCAATGTTTGTTACAAATTCATATACAGGAAAAAAAAGAGTGAATGAGATTTTAAAATGTAGATTAATTAGGAATATATAATCCTATAAACAATATTGTTATCCAAGCCTATAGATGCGCTATTTTTATTTAGCAAATGAGACATGACTTTGAAAACAGTAAGGTACTCAACAAAAGCAGTTATAGTGCACCTACAAATACCCTTTCTATTTATTATGAAACTAACAGAATTCAATCAATTTTAGTTCATGTGATGTAAAAGGGGAAGGTTTCAGATTCCCAGGCTATATAGTTTTAGCA